ATTTAAACTTCGCCTCATTGAACAAGCAGATAACTATCAAGACTCGTTAGCTAAGTGGATAACGCGATCGTGTTTCAAGCGAATGGTACTGGGTTTGAGTTCTGAAGTGAACATCAACTCTGAGATTCAGGTACATCCAGCTGACGAGTCTCTAACGGGACGAAACGCAGGTCCTGGATTCCATTGCCATATATATATATATATATATATATATATATATATATATATATATATATTGGACGTTTTAAAGCGAACTGATCATCGTGTTTATCTAGCCTTTCAGTAGTGATTAAATTCTACAGATCATGTTGTAATGTGATCACTAGTCTAATGGACTCGACAGTGAGTGGACCATTTCGATATATCAGGGGGTTAAACGTAGCCTGTAGGGAATCTTGTTCGATCTAGGTTTCGTTATACCTAGCACACGTTATCAATGTGTGCCTGAAATCTTGAGGTAACTGATGGATTATGTGGAATTACATTCCACTTTATCAAGTTTCACAATCTGAAAATATGCCTTTGAGCAGGAAATTTCAGTTATTTAGTAACCGTGATCGTGTTGTTCAATGCAGAACAACATTTTTGGAAAGTAATAGTAAGTTATATGAGCTGAAGTTGTTAATAATGCAAACATGATGGCTGTATATCCAAATTTGTTCATCATCAAAATAACAGTTGATATAAATGAAGCATTTACATTGAATTCTTGGCTTGTTAACACCTACTTTTTTTAAACCAATTTTAGACTCAGACAACTATTGGTTTCCAAAAAAAGATGTCAAAGATCATAAAAGTTACTTTACCTAGTTCCTAATATTGGTCGAATTATGTTGATTGAAATAACAATGTGGTTACTTAGTTGAAGAACTAGATAAACAAGGTATACCGAAATGTGAACTCATTCAGTGTTATGTCCTGATTAGGATAAAGAATGGTAACTTTGGAATCTATTTATGAACCAATATTATGCATATATTTTTTATCGTATAATTGCTAAATAACTAAACTATTCATATTCATGTTCCCCTTATCATGAGCTTTATTTTGAACTATAAACTTGTTATACGATTTACCATTCATGAATTACACCCAGTCTATTGATTACAATTCCCCCTTGTTCACAGCCACATTTGGCTGAATCTTGTGCACATGTTATTTTCTATTTCATTGGTACGATGTGGTTAGTTTGATTGGTATATAAATTCAATATGTTTGAAATACAGTGGATTCATACCGCAGAGGCTGTTCTGCACTTAACTGGATGGGCTAGGCAGATGTAAGACCGATATGTAATCTAGACTGCTCGTACGGTTTCCGTGTGTCACTGTTCCGGTCGATCATTCGCTGCCCTCTGATTGACGGTCTTATCACGTCATACGTTAGCAAGGCATCCACTCTGTCGCAAGATATAACATTCAAATAAGAGACTTTATTTCAATCTTGAATAACAATATTCGATTAGCACTAAAAGTTAGATATATTACTGGTTGTTACTTAATAATCAACATTGATGTAAATAATATACATGTCTAAAAATTCAGTAATGGCGACGTTAATAATGAAATTCCTAGATAACTAGTCAGAATCCAAACATCAATTCATAAACCAGTAAATCATATTATCCTCATCATAGTACTATCTAAACTTTCTTTAATTAATGTGTTAATCAATCAGTTTCATAAGAATCGAACATAATTTCATTGATCTAATAAATTAGTTTGACTAAATATCAAGATTAGGTAAAGAAAAAAAAAACTGGCGACATTATTGATGTTACCGCTTAATCTTAATACTAATTGGTTACAGGATGACTAAGAACTAAGTATTTATAAACAAACTAGAGTTCAATCGTTAGGTTTGAATGAATTATGTTAAACAATTTACATTAAAATCAATTCGAATAAACAACAACAACAATACCTTAAAGTGTTTATTCTAAGGTAGAAACATGCTGTGCATGTATGACATGCAATAAACAGTTTTACAGTCCATGCATACAAGTGAAGTTTAGTGAATGTATGTTGATGATTGTATTGTATGCAATAAACAAGTAGAATGGTCGTTTATGTAGAAAGCTAAATCTGTTATAGAATACATGAATGCTTTATACTTAAGGGTAAGAAACACATTGATTCGATGAATTGTATGATTAAGATCAGAAGGTCCAACTCTTCATTTTGTAAAAAGGGGCAATCTATGATAAGAATAATTAATTATTAATTGTAAGGTGATGGTGAAATAAGGAAATGGTTATCTAAACTTGGATCAACAGAAAATATGTCAAAATAATTCAGTAAGAATTCGTGTTTGAATTGGGTTTTGTCTATGGATATATATTAATTAGGTGTACCATCATAGATCTGATCACCAGATAAACGTTTCGTCCTAGTATGGAACCCATAAACAGTTTGGAACCGTGGGATAGAAAATATGAAGTTTAGGATGATATGTCGTGACAAGCGACAGTCAGAATCCTAATCTTAATTTGGTAAACTTTCAGTCTGATATTTACCCCATAGCTTAGTGTCTCTGATTTGGCTGATTACACGCCAGACCACCACCATTAAATTTTAGCCAACAGCTAAGTTTCAATTGGTCCACTATTTGCAAACTTTCTCTCTATGCCTCGCCCGTGAACCTAAAATCAGCAACAAGCCTCCACTACACCTATATTTTTACAGACGCGGTTTGTATACAGACATAACAGACGGCATCACATCACCAAATAAAAAATAACGGATATACATAAACAAGCCTAAAGGGCAGACAGTAAATAAGAGGCTGGGATGAAAATAGGGTTAGTAAATCGTGTGAACGTACTTATACGTCAACTAAAAGCTTATGATAAATGGAATATATATAGTAATAATCTAGTAACTGGGTTATTGTAAAACAAAATTATAATCAATAGTTATTTGAAAAGACCATTCCCAACGTCTACAATATTCGTTCCCCCACAACATAGGGGAGTTGAATGAAAGAAGAAGAACCACAGTTGCATTTCAAACAAATAAGCACTGGCAACTGCAAAAACAAACTGATTTGTAAGGGTTTTATATTTATAATTATTCGTAAACGCATTCCGTCTATCAAAGTATATGAGACTTTCAGGCAGTAATATTCCCCATTTCGTGTTAAGTTTTATAAATTTTTTTCAAGTACACAATACTGAGTGGTTAAGGTATAGTTTGTCATTTAGGCATGTTATTTACGAGATTCTATGGAATTGTAGATATAATTATAGTAGACATTAGTTTACATCAAGTTAAATACTTGTAGAAAAGCGAATGTCCGGCGCTTTAACCGGGTTGGTGGACACGGAGGGTCCAGCTAGGAGAGTTGAAAAACCCTGATTCTAAATCAATGGTGTGCATGGGCTACAGTATCCTGAGGGAACAGATGGCGTATGAATCAATCGTTGGTCACAGACTACCATGAGACTGCATCTTCTGGCGTTGATCCACTGCCTTATGGATCAGATCTTTAGGTCAAAGACTTCGGGTGTGCCCCCCTAAGAAAACCACCTGTTTCGGTTTGGGCACCCGAACAGTATCACAGCCCTCACACGAATCAAATGAGATTTGTGTGACGCATATACATCTGGTGCCCCTTTGGTACCAATATTTATGTGTTTAAATAAAATAAGATAAAATATAAAGTAATTTTCTAGTTAAATTATGTATTTATTACTTCAGTAAAGATATAAAGAGAATATTAAGCAAGTGTATTTCTGTTTATAATTCCCCGGCAAAAACTTAACTAATCTAGTTTATTTTAACAGTATACACTAAACTTGGCTTGAAATCATTCAAATTACATTGGAATTCTACAAATAGAAGAAAATAATTCCAAAGAAGTGAATGAATTATATATAGTTGGTACATTGATTCGTATTTAGCGCTTTAAAGGTGAATATTTTAACCATTTCTCTTAACTACAATTCTTTTTAATAAAGTTCTGTAATGGATGGCATTTCATTGTTATAATATGAAGATAGGTTTAACTTAACAGTACATGTTTGATGTCGTAGGAAATTTTTAATTTGATTTTTCTCTTCTAATTTATGAATGATACCAGTCAAGTTCTTTCAATTAATGTGTTTTGTACTCGACACTTGGGATCGACACATTTCTTCAGCTTACATAGACTTAAGTGTAAAAGAAGATTTACCCAAAATCAATAACATTGTATTCGATTCAATTTTACTAAGGTTGTCTTTCTACAAACTCTTATGAAGTATATTGACTCTTGTTTAGTCATATAAGAACTGTAATACAAAACTGAATGCAAATTGAAATATTAGAATTAGAATAGAAAACTAAACTGCTTACTAAAATCTTCTATCGTATAGATCTCTTTGTGTTTTAAATGTTATCAGAAAATCAATTCGTCATGTTAAATTAACTTGGGGTGACTTATCATTATTCACTTAACCTTGGAATTCAATTCAGTTCATTGGGGACTTAGACAAGAAAACCCAACAAAATAGCTAGTGAGGTGACACAAAAATGAAAACTAAAAATTATTTGATTACGTTACAGCTGATGTAAACAGAGAAATAGAAAATCCATGACGAACAGCGTAAGTTATTTTTTCTAGACATTAATTCACTTGATTCAACGTCCCTAGGTTATTCTATAAACCATAAGCATGATTCACTACCATATCATTTTTATTACAAAGCAATCATAATTTAAATGTAATCTTTTATACTTTTTTTCTACCCTAATGCATGGCTTGGACACAATTGTATTTTTCTCATAGTTTGCACGTTATGTTCGTTTTACTCATCTATCTATTCATGTGATTTTTTGCACTCATCTGTATCAAGAGTCAAGAATAAATAGAGTAGTGTTCCAGGTGAATCGTCTTCTCTTCAGCTTGTAGTTACCGGAACTATGGGGTATTTCAACTATAATTTAAAAACATTTGTTCACAAAGCAAGAATTATAGTATTATCAAAAAGTAACGATATTTAAAATTGTATACTGACTTACTTCTTCCATGAAATGTTCTGCAGTATCGTGAATTCTTTGTTCAATTCGATGTATAATATTAGCAGCATCTCGGACGTTATGTAACTGAGATTGAACTTTTCCAATACGTTGACATGTAGCATCTAAATTCCTACTTATTTCATGTCTTAATTTTGCAACGGCTTCACCAAAACTTGTTACTTCATGTTCACGATGAGCATTAAATGTGCATAGAACACATATACACATTGAACATGCTTCACAGTAAAATCGTACAGTTTCACCTGGATGATCTTTACATTCAATATCACTATGTGATTGTAACTCAAACGTCGCATGATCTTTAGTAACTTTAGTATTTCTATGTCGTTGAACACATTCATCACATAGAAGTTTATTGCAATCTAAACATTTCGATGTTGCTTTTGGTGAAATATTTAAACAAGCTGAACTAGCGCGTTGTTGACTACCAGCGTTATAATTATCAGCAGTATTAGTTAGGCCATTGATTTCTGATGAATTTGTCTTATTTAGTGGTTCACTTGAATGTCCTCTATCAATTCGACTTACTTGTGAACAAATTTCACATTCTCCATAACGTAATTGTTTCCTTTCCAAATTTGGTAATTGATGTAATGAATCGATACTTTCGTTAACAGTGGTTGATACTTGTCTATTATTTTCTAACCTATCGTTAATTCGACAAGTAGTTGGACTACCAATAATTGTAGCTGTTGATGAACCATTCGATGACGCTCTTTGTCTTAGTACTAAATCAGTTAAACCAGAAATTAGAAAATTATCTGGTAATCGTTTAACACCACCTAATGGAAGTTGTGTACGTTTACGACATAATGGACAAGTGAAATCACGATAATCTGTATACTTATTATAAGTAACTTCAGCTGATATATGCTTTTCAATACATTTTGCACAGAATGTATGCAAACACGCAAGACATTTTGGATTTGTATAACTATCGAAGCATATTTTACAAACAAGAAATTCATCATGTATTTCCTGAGCTAATCGACCAGCTACTGTACCTAAAAATGGATCATTTGCTAAACGAGCTGTATCAATTCTTGGTAAATTTTCAGCTAGAAGATCTTCACATTGTTTGGGTGAAGATGATTTAACATTAGCCCCGGACTCATCATGATGAACTACAAAGAGAAAAAAAACACCATTATGTTAGATGAAATCTAGCAACAATTTTATAGATAAAAAGTATTCCTTTATCAAGCGATCAAGGTTCGCTACAAGCTAAATATGTACATAACTTGACTCGTTTAATATTAACCCCTCATACTGGTACTTTTTCACCTGATTTGATCATTTAATAGCTGAATACTATAAAATGTTATTAGGGAGTAGTATAATCGAAAAAAAGCAATACATTTTAGCCAAATTTGTTGATTATTTAAAATTTTTAGGCAAATTAGTTGTGAATACACTGTGTATTGCTTTTTCGCTTTACAAATAACATTTTTTTACAATGTCACATCACAGTAACCATTGGTGTGAACTAGTGGGACATTAGATAACGACTGAGGCTAGTTCATCATATATATCGGTTGGATTCATGAGCAAGTGTCACTATTTTTGTGTCGTTGTTTGGTAATCTCTTCTATTTTAAAACTACTTTGTCAATGATTCAATGGATAAAATATGAAGTCATTAAGTGGAGGTTATTTGCAAAGTTTTAAATTTTCACTAAGTGTTTCTTTCTCAGTACTTTCCGTTATTTTCTCACACGTTTAGTAGGTAATTACTGTAAATTGAAGTATAGTTTTCCATAATGATTTCCTCCGATTGTACACAAATTCAATTTGTTTGATGAACATAAGTATATTAATAGTAGAAACACGGAATAATATACATCATAAAGACTAAATCTTGATTTACAGCGTCCACCAACTAAATGGACTCAAAATTGGTGGAGTAAGATATACCTAGTGAGCATTCAAAACATTACTGTCAGTCTCAACTCATGATTATTGTATAAAGATCATAATTATATCAGTTATTGTCGACACATAGTCAATAAGGGTACCGATGGTTAAGATTGAGTTATGTGAATTATATTAAGCTTTAATATTCCTACTAATCTTTCCTTTATATTGGGATATTTTTAAAGGTGTAACTATGTTAAACTTAACTACAAATCATATTTAATATAGACCTCAGTATTTTTTATCTATTTTTTCACTGGTTGCTTACACCTTCCCATAGATATTGTAGATTAGAATCACACAGTCACTTTTGGCATATGTTCGTCTTGTTTAGATTCCATGGATATTGCCATTGTATAAAAGTCATTTTTATAGTGACCAGACTAATAATTAACTTGATTGCTGACAAGCAGTTTATAATTAGCATACTTTGATTGGATATATGATATATAAATATTAGTTTCAAGTCCCTAATTATATATTTATGAACTCAATCAATTGAGTAATCGTTCTATTTTCCATTTTGTTGGGATTTCGAAGGCTTAGTCTTATGATCATAAGTTGAGTCTTCCTCTGATTTCTTTTTGGCAAATTAGAAAATGAACTCCTCAATGAGAGTATTGATAATTTATATTTATACTGCCATCATATAGACGAGGCATTCGTTATCGTACATCTGAATATTAGTTCAATCTATCTATTAATTGAATTATTTTATCAAAGTTTTTGAAGTGTTATAATGGCAATAAATAAGTTATTTTATCGATGAGGAATTGGAATTCTCTTTGTTTATATTAAGGATTAGGTTCTAACCAATCTCTACTGGGCTATGTGATTTTTGAGTAAATTAACTTCATAATACTACTGACTTTTAGGTTTATATAAATTTGGAGTGAAGTTATTGATGGAATCTAGGATACTTATTTCGTCTCATTTGGGACCTGTAAGTTGGATTATCCTGAATCCTGGTGACGTTCACATTGAGAATTGAACCCAATCACCATAGCTTCAAATGCCTGTATTTTATTCATACTAACCATATGAAGTCGTTAATAATAACGAGTAAAATATAAACCATAACATATAACTTCATCTACGGTGAACAGATTTTCGCCTACTGTATTCAGTAGATTAATGCATTAAGTATCCATATTTGAAGCAAACACGTACTAGGCCTGAGTCCTAATGTGAACGGCAACACTAGGATACAGCTTTATCCATCCAAGGAATCCTTAGTAGGATGAAACGAACTCTTTGGATTCTAATGTTAGAAACAATCTAAATATGTCATTTTATGGATCTAGTCGGTTAAACGAGATAAAACTTTTATAGTTGATTATTATCCTTTTTAATGACTTTCTTAGATTACTCTCACTAGTTTGTACGTCTTAGCTTGTATTTATAAATAATGATAATTACACAGATTTCCCATTTTCATGTAAATGACTAATTATCTGATCAATAATCCTCTTCGTTTTTTGTTGCCCTCTACCTTTTATGTATTTAAGGCTTATTCACTTTAAAGCCATACTATTTTTTGGATACATTTTGATAGACAATTTATTTCCTTGATAACTGTTTGAATGTGCTCTGATAACATTTAAACAATGTTTACATGTTCCTATCACACTTGTTCAATATTACATATATATATCGGTAAGTAAAGATAAGGTGGAAGAACTATGTTGATCAATGAACCATTATAGGATATTTCCCAATATATATGTGTTTACTTTTGTGGTAAAGTTATCTAAACAAACTTTATACAGCTATACAAATCAGAATCTAAAGACTAATATCATGTGTCTTCTCTTATGACAAGTGAAAGGAAACGATATTTAAAAAAAATTTGTTTAATGTGTTCAGTATAGATAAATATTATTTAATAAGAAACATAGAATGTCTGGTCTAGGAATTTGGACATAGTTGATAAAAACAGTATCATAAATTATAAACTAATTTGCGTTGTGACCGTTCAAGTTTAGATACAAATAGATGGAATGGAGGTTTGTGAAGACTGTAGTGATTTTAATAGTTGAATTTGTGAGTTGATGTAAACTAGGTCTTTGATTCGAGTCTCGCATGTTGGGTCGCAGATGTGCACTGCTGAGGAGTCCCATATTAGGATGAGACGGCTGTTCAATTCTACCAGGTTCTCAATGGTGGTCTAGCACCAATCGATTAATGATCCCAATCAAAAACTGATTCTTTTGTTAGGAATTCCTGTATCTTTGCCTAACAATATCTTGTTTCTAACTTGCAGTTCTAAAAATACAAGTTGACGTCATTGCATATAACGTGATCAGACACATGTATGGCTTGTTGTTGCGTAATTGTTAAATAAAAATAAAAATCTTCAAACGTAAATATTTATCATATACATCCTAGCCATTTTCAAAGTTTTTAGGTCATGTAATACTAAGTAGATCAATACAGTTTAGGATACATCTAGTAGGTTGCCGAAAATTATGTTATTTAATAGAGGTCGATTATATATAAACAAACATTTAATTGCAGTACATAACTATAAATTTTTCCTACTGAGTATTACAATGATTTTACATACATCATATGCTTAGGCATAATTATGTAATTAGGGAAGAAATAGACAATATGGGTAAATATTTTTTTTATCGGATAATAGTTAACTAGTATTGAACAGCATTATGGTGATTTTAGGTGAATTCTCAGCATGTTGAAGAGAATTATTTATCACATTGAAGATATTTTTAAAGACAATGCTGGTTAAATACAGTTTTCGGTCATAGGATTGAAGATGAAGATTTGGAGCTTGAATAAGGGTCACATTTTGACAAAAAAGTCATGGAATGATGCTTTATGAATTAAAGTATTAAAAACGTTACTTAATCTAATCAGAATCAATTTTTCATAACAGGTAAAGCTTCCAGTGTTTACTTATCAGTACTAAATAATTTCATTTTGATAATTTTGTCCTTTATCAATTCTAATTAAGTTTCATAATCTATATATGTAACTTAATGTTCGATTGACCTTTGACTAACTGATTGATAAACTAAGAATATATTTACCTGTCTATTGGTGGTAGTCTGATATAAATGATAGGCTTCAAGAAAGTTTCTAACGGTTAGTTATATTTAAAACTCAATCTAATTTGTATCTACATAGTGATATAAGCAATGAAATATAGAAATTACTAAATGGTCAGTATATGTTTAGAAAGTGTAGAGATGAAGAAAATGTTTACATTACTTATTACATTGTTTAATGCTAATAACAGTTTGTATAATTCAAGTGTTAGGTTAAATAATATATTGCGTAACTATTTAATTGTATTAAAATGATGTCTGTTGTGAGATATCAACCCACTGAAGACTATGGTGGACGGTTGCTCAATTTCGTGAACTGGTTGAAGTTAGACATCATCACCGTTCGATGACGACTCGGTGGTCTAGAGGTTAAGCGTTCGCGCACGAAACTAATAGGTCCTGGGTTCGGATGTCGCGAGGCGGGATCGTGAATGAGCACTGGTGAAGAATCTCTCAATGGGACGAAACGGCCTTCCAGAGCTTCCAGGTTTTCCATGGTGGTCTAGCTTCAATTAAATCATGATTTCAACTATAAAATGAGAGAGTTTATATTCTTGTTCAAGTGAATTTTAATTATATTTTATTAACTTATTAAGATGTGATGTATCTAAAGCCAAATTTATAGCCTATTTTTCGTCCATTTGCAAACATCATTTCATCTCCTGAAACGTTTTAATAACCCAATAACAGTTTTTCAAATGCTTCACTGATAATATTAATAATGAGATTGATTTGAAAACAATAAGTTACTGGAATGGATATTCTTCTGAAAGATAAATATAGAATATTCTGTAATTTTTTCTTAAAGATAAGAACAACGTAGTTGGTTTCAGCTCTTTTTTTATCTGTATGTAAATCCTATTATTATTATTATTATCATTGATTAATTTATTCATTGTTTAAATGTTTGTATACTGATATTTAGTCCTCAATTTAAGTTTTTTTTCCTGATTAGGGGATTCAAAGATAAAAGTTATTTTTGTTCAGTTTTAATTTATTTAATATTTTGATGTATTTAAAAATAAATTTTTAAATCAACCTGTTTGTAAATTTTAGTTGACCCCCTGATGTTGATGCAGAATAATTGAATCTCTGATTGAATGGTCGGTATAGCTGCAATCCCGATGTAATTGATCCAAATAG